GGGACCAAGCAATGTTACCAATACAAGTTCTATCCTGAACATCTTCCCTGTGTTTGAACCTTTCATGCTCCCTGTCAGACAGAATGCTAACAACTGTAACACGTCTCTGATCTATCTACTTCATGACAGCTCAGGCTTTTAATAATATTGTCAGTGTCTCCACATTCAAAAATACCAAATATAGATTTAAAGAGATTAAATGTTGAGCAGTTTTAAGGTGAACAGGGGCAAGGAATTAAAATGAAAAATGGGATGGTGGAAAAATACAGGGTAGATAAGAGGAAATAATTAGTATAAGATAAAATTAAAATAATAATACAAAGAAATCTGTGACAAAATTAACAATTTGTACAATTGGAGAACACAAACCCACAGCAAGATGATAACCAGCCATCAACAGTCACCAGAATCGTAAATCAAAGCACTGTTTGTACATCAAACTTGATCAATAATGAGTATGTATGATTATTAAGCATCCAATCAGACTTATAACGAGAAAGTATTAATTAATAGTGGAGATTTTATCTTTGCTCTGAGTCACGTAACCGTGGCGATCGTAACCATGGCTGATTAACATCGCCGTTGACGACGATGACAGCGAGACAGAACACATTAGAACACTATCGAGTGTTCCGTTCATCTTTCCATTCCATTCCCAACACTCCATCTATCATTTTGAACAGACCCCCGTTTCATTCGCTGCCCTGCTGCCCTCCCCAACAGTATCACAGCAGCAGAGAGCGAATGAATCGGCTGAACAAAGTGCTTACTTTACCGTCCTTAGACCGAGATCCGACTCAATGCTAGCACAGTAACAGTAACCTCATTGTATTCGAAAAACCTAATCAAACCAGCGCTATCAGGGAGGGTTAGAATATGAAGTACCCTCCACTTGGTTCAGTACATATCCATACAGTAGCTTTCACATGTAAAGTACATGTCACATACTAATACACAGTGCTTTAGGAAACCCTAAAAGATAAACCATATCTATTTCCAAGGCTGTTGGTTAAACACCATTCATTCTCTTTGCTGTGGTTGTGTGCTGTGAGGGACAAGGGAGGGAGGAGAGTTTGTTTAGAATGCTTTAGAACAGTGGATGACTTGTACTTCTAGAGAATATCTCTAAGTACGAGGATAAATCAGAGTGTTTGGATTATCTGCTACAGAGTCTTTTGATCAATTGGAATTATCTGATGGTAGACAAAGGAATTTTGAAGCAGTCTATAACCAATCAAATCTCTTCGGATCTCTACCAAACTTTCCTCCGAGCTTTCCCTCAAACACACAACCCAACATACCATTACAAACAATCAAATAAGTACCAAGACAAAATGCACCTACTGAATCCCACATCCCTCTGAAATACTGTGCACATATCTGTAGGTCAAATATATAAATATACTAGACGACACAGACAAACCACCAATTCAACAGACAACCATTTGTATAGTCTAAGTGAAGATGGAGTATATGGGTATAGTCTTTCCTGGATGGGTATGTTGGGGACTGAGGCAGTTTGTATGACAACAACCTTGTCCCTGTGGTAGTAGATACAACATAGATTAGGACATGTTGTTGTGGGGGTAGTGGGCATTTGGGCAATAGATTGCGTGGGCGTGATGGGGCTGCAGGGTAGTTTTTGGGAAGGTGACATTTCCTTTTGTGTGGATTTGATGCGTGTATGTGTGTGTGTGTGTGTGTGTGCGTGTGTATCGTATCAGATATAGTACGTTTACCTAGCGTGTTCACCCTCCAACCAAATACATCCTCCCTGTCGTATCCCTGGACCGTGCTGTGTTCTACTGGTATCCATTTTAGCCATATGGTCTTGGAAAGCCATTGGATCAGTGGGTCTGTGATTTGATTTGATCTGTGGACTTTGCAGAGTATATTACAACACTGTCTATCTGTGACCATGCAATGTCCACCACCATCAAACTACCATGACACTGTGTTATTATAAGATAGCTATATCACAATCCTCGCTGACACTCGGATGCTTCTAAGAACTGAGAGCTCCATTGTTACGGAGACCAGGAAGGAACCGTAGAACTGCTTTCCATTTGCCAGTTGTGCAGACTGACAGACAGACAAACACAGATATGGGGTGTGGACTGGACTGGGGAGAAAAGAGGATCATTTTCAAATGTTAAACAGGGATATACTATTCTGTCTTATCAGAGAGACAAATTAGCTCCTCTACTCCCAGCTCAATGACCTTACTGTAAATACACTGATCTCTATTCAGTAATGTCCAACACCAATTAAAAATTATTACTCACTTGTGTATCCTATGAAGCAACATTTAACTAGGCAATTTTCTGAATACGTTTTATGAACAAGAAGCCAAGTCATGTTCATATTAGGTTAATAACGTTTTACTTAAGTAAAAAAAAAAAAACATTATCTGGTCCTCTGTTCACACACTAGCAGCAGGAAAGCAAGCTCTCCAAGACCATTTACATACACCAGATGGCCAGCATGGATATGACAGTACAACCAGGGCCCCTTACCCTTGACCAGCCAAGAGACGTAGATAAACTACATAGTGATGTTTTAAACTCAGTGGCTTTTAATTGGTCTTGAATCTATTCATGAAGAGCGAGAGAAATAGAGAGGGGTTGTTACATTTACATTTTAGGGTTGTTCTTGCTTGTGAGGAAAAGGTCCACCTTCCCATAATTTCTCAGAAATTATTTGGCTGGGGGGTTTCTTGTGGGGTTTCGTATGTGGGGTAGGGGAAAGACTTTAGAGACGGGGTGGGGGTGGAGTGTATGAATTGGGTAGATGGCTAGAATGTGAATGCCGATCTTGTTAAAAATAAATCTATGTAGGATTGCTTGTGTACTACTTCTCTTCTCTTCTTCACTGGATTCAGGTCGCTCAAATCTTTATCTTCCTCTTCCTCTTCCTCACGACTAGCCGCAGCTAAAAAGGGGGTCAGTCCAGCTTTGCTTCTTCAATGGGTGAAAAAAATAGGAAGTGCTTCTCAAAGAACTGAGAAAATTATCATCAGCCTGGACAAAGTATTGTTTTGTTGTTTCTGTTTTCCTTTGATGAATATGGAATCCGGTATGTCATTTGCTTCATTCTTCATTCCACTTTCTCCAGGCATCTTGTCCATCTATCGTCCGATATCGATCCAGTCCAATCCTTCATTCATAATGTGTGAGTGCGTTCAACCTTTAGTCTCGGAAAGACAGACAGAGGGATGACAGACGGGGTGTCCAGACAAGGGTCAGTGTACCAAAAATTAAAAAAAGATATTCTCTTCCGCTGTCCATTTCATCCCTTACAACGAGGTCCCTTTTACAATGAGGGCAGGTTGGAGAGTCCATAGAGTGGCCAGTCTCTCTTCTGTAGTGGTTTTAGATGGCTTTAGTCTCAAGTTGGAGATTGCAATGTAGGCTCGTTCAGTGCTACGTCATGTCAAAAGCATCACTTCTTAAAAGGAACGTTCAAGAGCATAGAGCCAAAAGCTTATAAAGCTTCGTAGAGTGGCTATGAAGCTTCGTAGAGTGGTTATGAAGCCTTTGAGAGCAAACGGACTCCCATTTGCTCTGCTGAGCTCTTACCATGTGCCAAAGCTTATGAAGCTTCTTAGGGTGGCTATGGAGCTTCGTAGAGTGGATATGAAGTGTCTTAGAGTGGCTACGAAGCTTCGTAGATTGGTTTCAGAGAGCTGAATTTCACAGCATGTCCGATGACTGAGACTGTAGTGTCTATTTTGATGTTTTCAACAACCATGAGGGACTAGAATCCAACCTTTACAACGGTTGTCAGCTAATATTTGTGATGGCGACATTTACCGGTGAAATATTTCTCTAGCTACTGAACAATGTTGTTAATGTTAAGTCAATCTCAACTATATTAGTTCAATTGTTTGAGTCTTTGCGGTATACTGTATAGTACATCTACCTTTTTCACACAGTTAGCAATCTACTATAGAGTAAGCTTAGATTGCACATTGTTATAAGAAAGCCTCCAGAAAGCTTCTGCTGTTAATATATTACCTCTTTACATACTACTGTTGCATTCAAGTACATGTGGAAAAGTAGCAATAAATTAGCAATATGGTCAAGTGCTTAAAAACATTTTTTTTTAAAACAACTGAGTGACTGTTAAAAAAACAACGAAGACAACTAAATTGTTTTAAAAGCTAACTGGCCATGTTTTAGTATTATGAGCTAAGTGTGTTTCTAGCTGTTCCGTTTCAGCCTTTTAGTGTGAATTATAAGCGTGCAAATGCTCTGTAAGATTCACTGAAGGGCTTTTGTTTGTTCGACAGTATTTGGGGATTTGGTGTTAGATAGAATAAGTCCAAAAGGATTTCTACCGTTACTATGGATGGGAGTGATGCGTTCTAAATCAGTTAAATTCAGTTATCTCTAAAAGTAAACCAACTCCTCTCTTCCCTCACGTCATCACTCGCACTTTAGCACAACAGCCCATATGGTTTAATAAAGTGCCTCAAGAGTTGTGCAGACTTCTTTGCAATTCAGAATGTGTACATATTTATACTTTATATTTACAAAAAAAGGATTGAAAGGCATGACATACCGTAAACTAGCTTGCATTTTTCTTTTTCATTTTTAAAGGAGTAACGTTAGCATAAAGTTACTTCTGTTGTTAAGAGTTCGATTTTTGCGATGACTGAATGGTAAAAGACTGTGAGAAACTAATTTAAACTGATTTGTCAAAGGTATATCATATAACTGTCTTTTTTCCTAAAATATTTTTGTTAGTGGTAGTGTTAATATCAAACATATTGCAAATCTAATGCAGCTTCTAAGTTGTTTCACTATAGACTTGCTTATGGAGGTTGTTGCTAATCCTTCCGAAGTTTCTTGGGGAACTTTTCCATTTCATTTTCTAAAGAGAATGTGGTTCGTTCATTCATTGGGTCTCTGGAAAATCTTCTGAATTTGTCAACTTTCATGTTTTTTCCCTCATATTGTTTCTCCTCTTCCTCTTCCTCCTTCCTCTTCTGGCAGCTACATGACATCTGACTCGACCACGCACTGCTCTGTATATTCCTTCACCAGCTCCACCTTCAATGTCTGGCGACAGAATTCGGCCATGGGTTTCCACATGGGAGGATCCAGAAACATCTGGCACATGACGTGCCCCTTCAGGGTGGCTGTGTGGCGCCGGAGGTGACTCAGGAACTGCTGGAGCACCAGGCCTATGTCCTTGCCGAACACGTCGATGTTGAGGTAGTATGTGTCGTCACCAACTCGGTAAGGACCTCCGGGCACCCGGAAGGGGTGGGTGCAGAGGCTGGCCACGGCTGGGGCGTCACGGTCGTCCACCATCCAGTCGATGTCCTTGAATGAGTGAATTCATTCATTTTATTTGAGAAATGTGAAATACGTATCAAGTTGCTTCAGCCATGGGAGTAGAGCAATACATTTAAAATTATCAAGGATTTAAAAAACAATTTGGGTTGCAAAATTAGTGTAACATTCCCAAAATCCCCAAGTTTTCCAGAAATCCTGTTTGGGTGGATTACGGATGCTTATTTTCTCCTGATTCCAGGAGTCTTCCAACCGTGATTTCTGGGAAACCTGGGAATGTTGGGAAAGTTACAGGAATTTTGCAACCCTAAACATGATAAAGTCAACCGACTTATTTCCGTTGAGGTCCTCATTATGATATCATATTTTACCTTCTTCAGAAGAATGTCCATGTTGCTGGGCAGGGGCTTGAACGGCTGCCAGTCCTGGACGATGGTAGCGTTAGGGAGTACGTCGGACATCAGGCCAGAGTTGAGGAACATCTGGTGGGCCTCGTTGAGGTCCAGAAGGACCGGGGGAACCAGGGAGGTGTCAGAACCCTGGGGGGTACCCTCAGAGGAGGGGGGTAGGGTCACATGCAGCCCCAGTTCGGAGAGCCGGAGCTTGAGGTCTTCGGCATTGAAGCGAACTAGCAGGATGCCCTTTGGGAGCGAGCCGGTGGTGAAAGGACGTAGGGTAAAGAGAAGGTTGTATGGTTGGTTAATAGACTGCGAATTGAATTTAGCACACACTGAAGCATTGTGAAAAGGGAAATCTGTAATTTTGGTAAAAACATGCTTTCCTGACACAAGTGGACTAGAGTTATAATGGTTTCTAGTCATAAATATGATGACTAGAAATAACTTGGACAATGTTGGAAACTTGGAAGACTTACGGACTTACGGTACTAATCAATCAATTAACCAAGCAAGCACGCAACCAATTAACAAATTAACCAATACCTACCTGTTTGGTGATGAGGCGGTACTTCTGAAAGTCCTTGGGCCCCAGCTGGTCGTCGCGGGTCAGCCTGGTCACCTTCACCTCAGGCCACTTGGACTTGACCAGCTGAGAGCAGAACCGCAGAAGCACCCCTGCCACGCCCTTCCCCCTCTCCTGGGGGGCCACACGTAACCCCTCCACCAGCATGGTGTCACCGTCATCTATCACACACACCGACTCCAGGGCAATCTGGTGGGGGGAGAGGGGAGGAACGAAGGGATAAAGGAGAAGGGGATGGGGAAGAAAGGAGAGGGGGAGATAAAGATGGAGGGAGATTATGAATAGTTGAAGAGATACATTTTGTGTGAACATTATCAGTAATATTCTTGTTATTTTCTCATGGTTATTTCTAGGTTATATAACTCTCAATGGTTCCAAAGTAGGCCACTCCTCATCTCCAGTGTTCCTTTAGGACTCTAACATGGATTCTATTTATTTGGTATCACCCTTGTAAGACCATTGTAACTCCTTCTCACACCACTTTGCTCTGCTTGTTTGCAAAGCATCAGTGTGACAGCGTGGTTGGTCTCAGACAGCCAGGCGGTGTAGCGCGTGGGCAGGTACTGGTAGTTCCTAATACAGCCCTTATAACAGCTTAATAACCCCCTTAAAACACGCTATAACATGTTTATAGTACCCTTATGACAGCTTATAACACCCTTTATAGCCTGTTCTCACCACTTTGCCCTGTTTGCACTCCAGTTCGACAGTGCAGTTGGTCTCCTGTTGCCAAGCCTGGAAGCATTCCTAACACGCTTACAGCACCTTAATAACATCTTTATAAACATACTATAACATGCTTATGACACACTTTATAACCTTTTCTCACCACTTTGCCCTGCTTGCGGGCCAGTATGACGGTGCGGTTGGACTCGGAGAGCCAGGCGGTGTAGCGGGTCGGCAGGTAGTCCAGCCCTCCGTAGATGTCCTGGCTCATCGCCATGATCTCTTCAAAGTCCTCCTCTGTCGCCACGGTGAACTGGAGGCCTGTCTGGGGAGGGGTCTCGGGGAGCTGGGGGCGGGGCAGGCTGTTCTCAATCTTCATCTTTACAGCTGGAGAGAGGATGAAGGGATGGAGGGGGAGAGATGGGATGGAGAGGGAGGAAGGACAGAGGAGGGGAGAGAGAAAGGGGGAAATGGAGGAGAGGAAAGAACTTTGGAGAAAGTAGTGAGGAAGAGAAGAACAAGAGGAAGGTGGAAAAGGTCAAGTAAGAGAGAGGGATAGATAAATGAAGAGATCAGGTAGAAAGAGTGAAGGAGTGAGAGAGAAGGGTGGGAGGGAGATAGATAGATTGATATAAAGAGAATGAGAGGAGGGAGTTAGGGAGAGAGATCAATAGAGATCAGGAAGAGAGAGAAAGAGAAAGGGCGAGAGAGAGTGCAGAAATCTGATTAGGGACCAGGAGCAGGCCTATAAACCAAATGGACAGGAAGCACATCCGTTGCTGTAATTGAGAATGTGATCTCACTAAACTCCAGTAAAGTAAAGCTACAGTATCTTAAAAGGCAGTGCAGTCAAAATTCTGTTTTGTATCATATTGTACATCAGCTGATGAAACTTACAATGTAAAAGTGTGACACATTTTTATCAGTGTTATTTCCTGATTGTTGCTGGTTGAAAATAAAATCTACACATGACATTCTAATCAGCAGGTTTTGCATGGGTGGAGTTTCGGCTTGCCTGGTGACATCATCAGGTGATAAATTACTTAATAGGCCAATAACAAATAGAGTTGCTACAGAAATAGTGTTTTTGCTAAAAAGCGATTTTTGTTTATTTTTGACCATTTTAATGGAAAACTATTATAGTAAGGTACTTAATTGTTACCCAGAAATAATTTGATATTGCTATAAAAATTGCTGCATTGGGCCTTTAAGGAGAAATACTGAACAGCAGGTTCGACAGAAGGGAAATATGCTGCAGAACACACATCCAGCATTTTTCCAAAGCTGCTAAGTACACAAAGCATCCTTCAAAAAGTAAGATGTCGAATACCCATTGTAATGGGGAAATGTATTTTAGAGTGAATAACACAATGTTTAGCATATTTATACACTCAGTGGCCAGTTTATTAGGTACAACACCCCGTTCACGAAAATAGTTCTCTCCTACAGACAGTGAGTCACGTGGCCGTGGCTTGCTATATAAAGCAGGCAGACAGGCATAGAGGCATTCAGTTACCATTCGATTGAACGTTAGAATGGGCAAAACTAGTGACCTTAAGCGTCTTTGAGCGTGGTATGATCGTCGGTGCCAGGCGCGCTGGTTCCAGAATCTCAGAAACGGACGGCTTCCTGGGCTTTTCACGCACAACAGTGTCTATCTAGGGTTTACCGAGAATGGTGCGACAAACAAAAAACATCCAATCAGCAGCAGTCCTGTGGCCGAAAACAGCTTGTTGATGAGAGGTCGAAGGACAATGGTAAAAATCGTGCAAGCTAACAGCGGGGCCACAAACAGGCAAATGACGGCACAGTACAACAGTGGTGTGCATAATGGCATCTCGGAACGCACAACTCGTCTGTCCTTGTCACAGATGGGCTATTGCAGCAGACGACCACAATGGGTTCCACTCCTATCAGCTAAAAACAAGAAGAAGCGGCTCCAGTGGGCACGCGATCACCAACACTGGACAATTGAGGAGTGGAAAAACATTGCCTGGTCCGACAAATCCCGGATCCTGTTGAGTCATGCTGATAGCAGTCAGGATTTGGCATTAGCAACATGAGTCCATGGCTCCATCCTGCCTAGTGTCAATGGTACAGGCTGGTGGCGGTGGTGTAATGGTGTGGGGAATGTTTTCCTGGCACACGTTAGGTCCCTTGATACCAATTGAGCAACGTTTCCATTCCCCGAAGAATTCCAGCTGTTCTGGTGGCAAAGGGGGCTGACCCGGTACTAGATGGGTTTACCTAATAAACTGGCCACTGAGTGTATATTTTCCCTTTATGTTATACACATGATTTCCAGTGTTCTGTTTGTGACACTCAAGGTGCTGGATGACGGTCACTAGACTTGATACTGAATGTTATGGATTGTTCTCATATCTGTTGATATTAATTGATGCCAGACTATAGGTACAAGGACCGGGGACACACTAATTATTCACTGTTGTATTCGCAGTCTGGCGTCAATCACTATCAACGGATATGAGAATAATCCATAACATTCAGTATCAAGTCTAGTGACCATCAACCCGCACCTTGAGTGACACAAATAGAACACTGGAAATCATGTGTAGTACATCATATGGAATGCACAACTCGTCTGTCCTTGTGTCATAGTTAAATCAGGTTAAATAAAAAATATATAAAAATATATATAAATATGCTAAACATTGTGTTAATCACTCTAAACTAAATATTATTATTATTGTTTTTTTAACCTTTATTTTAACAGGGAAGACATATTGAGACCTAGGTCTCTTTTCCAAATGTGCCACTACAGACCCTGGTTCGATTCCAGGCTGTATCACAATCCAGCCGTGATTGGGAGTACCATAGGGCGGCGCACAATTGGCCCAGCGTCATCCTGGTTTGGCCGGGGTAGGCCGTCATTGTACATAAGAATTTGTTCTTAACTGACTTGTCTAGTTAAATAAAGGCTATATATATATATATATATGAACTTTAGTGATCTTACATTTCCCCATTACAGTCCTAGCAATTCCTATTACACCTATACACTGTTTAGACGCCTGTATACTTTAAGCTTCACAACACTTCAACAATATCCCTGTAATTCACATCAATGGGTCAACTTTAACATCAATAGGCATTGGTCAGACAGAGTAAGTAGCTTCAAAACAATTCAACCTCAAAGGGTCTTGGTCAGGCAGACTACACAACCATAACCTCTTAGCTTACTACCACATCCCAATGTTTTGACCAGAGTGGACGGGGTCTTGGTCAGGAAAAACACAGACAACACAACCCCTAACCACACAGACGGCACTAATGTGATTTCTGGTCATCGCCAGGACGCCAGCCCAGCTTGCCCGTCCAGTTTGGCATCAGTTTGTATGTGGCAAAGAGAGAGGCGACTGGCATCCATCCCTGTGGCGCGCCCCCCTCTGTCAACCCCCTATCCCCTTAATCCCTTCAGTAATTCCCCCTCACCCGCTTCCCTGGATTCCTCGGAAAACACTGGCTCGCTCGGGAAAACAATCACATTTTTCTGGGCTTGGGAAAAGAATGAGGCGAAACAAGCGAGAGAAGAGAAGGGCTCAGGTAATTGGAAAGGGATTCCAGAAAGGTGCAGAGATTATTGAGTGGTTAAAGCCTGTGTGTGTGTGTGTGTGTGTGTGTGTGTGTGTGTGTGTGTGTGTGTGTGTGTGTGTGTGTGTGTGTGTGTGTGTGTGTGTGTGTGTGTGTGTGTGTTTCTCCGTCAGTGTGTAATATGTCTGTACATTTTACATTGACGTTTTAGTCATTTAGCAGACGTCCGTATCTAGAGCGACTTACAATAGTGAGTGCATACATTTTCATACTTTATTGTGTATTTCTATGTGTAAGAGTGTATCTATGTCTCCGTATGTGTGTGTGTTCTCTGTCTCATGCATGCATGGACAGTTACTGTTAATTGGCCACAGGGGAAATGAGGCTTCTAGCAGGGCCAGACATTTACGATAATCTGTCGATGGGAGATGTGTCTGGGCTGGGGGAGGGAGGGAGGCCGCCTGCCTGGGACAGAGAAAACACTGTCTGGCCCCAACAGACCTAAAACTTTCCCTGTCTCTCACTGGTACTTTTCCATCAATTGGCATGCACAGGCATGGTGCCATACACACACTGGGGGTGGAGGGGAGAGGGAGGGTCTTGCCAGTGTCACACACACACAAGCAGACGCACAAGGGGACGCACATGCACACACACACACACACAAACCACGCACACAATGAATCACTAACTGCCACATGAACTTTAGCATTACATCAATACACATCTCAGCAGCGCCCTTCCAATCAATCGACCGTCCACATATACACACACACACACACACACCACTGTCTACGACCCTTTTGGAACCGGTTTCTTTAAGAGTGTAAACAGACACCTGTCCATTACAGAAACACAAAAGCCTATCAGAGGTGCATGGTGTAAGGAGAAGAGAGGACAGGAAGGTTGTTTCTGCATGATGTTCTTGCTGACGTTTGGTTGGCAGGCAAGCAAACATACTGAACAAAGAGGCACCAAGTGATACACTACATGACCAAAAGTATGTGGGCACCTGCTCGTCGAACGTCTCATTCCAAAATCATGGGCATTAATATTGAGTTGGTCCCCCTTTTGCTGCTATAACAGCCTCCACTCTTCTGGGAAGGCTTTCTACTAGATGTTGGAACATTGCTGCGGAGACTTGCTTCCATCAGCCGCAAGAGCATTAGTGAGGTCGTGCACTGATGTTGGACGATTAGGCTTGACTCGCAGTCAACATTCCAATTCATTCTAAAGGTGTTCGATGGGGTTGAGGTCAGGCCTCTGTGCAGGCCAGTCAAGTTCTTCCACACCGAACTCGACAAACCATTTCTGTATGGACTTCACTTTGTGCACGAGGGCACTGTCATGCTGAAACAGCAAAGGATCTTCCCCAAACTGTTGCCACAAAGTTGGAAGCACAGAATCATCTAGAATGTCATTGTATGCTGTAGCGTTAAGATTTCCCTTCACTGGAGCTAAGGGGCCTAGCTTGAACCATGAAAAACAGCCACAGACCATTATTCCCCGTCCACCAAACTTTACAGTTGGCACTATGCATTCGGGCAGGTAGCGTTCTCCTGGCATCCACCAAACCCAGATTTGTCCATTGGACTGCCAGATGGTGAAGTGTGATTCATCACTCCAGAGAATGTGTTTCCACTGCTCCAGAGTCCAATGGCGGTGAACTTTACAACACTCCAGCCGACGCTTGGCATTGCGCATGGTGATCTTAGGCTGCTCGGCCATGGAAACCCATTTATTGAAGCTCCAGACGAACAGTTGTTGTGCTGACGTTGCTTCCAGAGGCAGTTTGGAACTCGGTAGTGAGTGTTGCTACGCGCTTCAGCACTCGCCGGTCCTGTTC